AGTCATGCTTCTTTGAAGCAAGACAGTGACACTTCATTTCATAGACTTTGGGCACGTTAGGAGGGACCAGTCATTGGGGGAAAAGACATCATGCTAGGAAAGGTGGAGGATCAGAGAAAGATTAACAAATAGCTGCACTGACACAATGACTCCAACAATGAGATTTAGCCTATCCGAGATGAGGAAGGTGGTGCAGGACAGAGGCAAGGCTCACATGTCGTGCTGAATGGGTCACTATGATTCCCAGCCGACTTAGTAGCACCTACTAACAACAAGATTAACACGAGCAGTTCTTGAATAATGGTAGAGATTTTCTCTCTGACCGAAGGCATGGTCTGTGTGCTTGAGAAGAATGTGAATTTTTTAATTGCCAGGTGTAGAGTTTATATCCTTAAATAAAAAAAAAAATTCCTTGTTTTTTTAAATTTAACAAAACAATGTTCTAAAATTCCCTGTCATGGTGGCAGACTTATAAATTCCCCCACTTCTCCTTAAAATTCTGTCAGTTTTTCCACTGGAACTATTTTGAGGGCACCCTCGTAGTGCAGTAGTTAGAGCATTTGATTGCTAATGCAAAGGGCTCCAGTCAGAAATGACCAGCTGTTCTTTGGGAGAAAGACTGCTTGCCTTAGAAAGTCTACAGGGCAATTCTACTCTATTTTATAAGATCTCCAGGAATTTGAGGGAGCTCTGGTGGCTAAGGGTAAGGAGCTGTGCTACTATCTCAAAGACACGTGGTTCAACTTCACCAGCTGTTCTGTGGCAGAAAGATGGGTAATCTCCACCCATGCAATTTACTGCCTCTAAAAACCTGCTGGAGGGTCAGCTATGAGTCAGTTCTGACTCAATGGTATAAAACAACAACAACTAGACATTGGAATTTATAACAGCGACAAGTTTGTGTTTTAGGGTTGTCTGTTTTACTGTTAGGTATATAGATTCACAATTTTTATATTCCCTAGGTAAACGATTCATTTTTACCACTGTAATAAATGGTTTTTGTCCCTAGTGATGCTTTCTTCCTAAAAGTCTTTTGTATAAAGATGATACAGCTACATAAGCTTTTTATTAATGAATATGTATTTAGTATATTTATTTCCATTGTAACAAAATATGTTTACATATTGCACTGGGAAAGTCTGTAGTCAAGGACCTCTCCAAATTATTGAGGAGTAATGATGTCAGTTTGAGGACTAAGGTGCACCTGATTAAGCCCATGGTCTTTTCAGTCACTTGTTATGCATCTGAGTGCTAGATGATGAATTGATGCCTTAGAATTACGATATTGGAGAAGAGTGCTGAGCATCCCATGGATTGCCAAAAGAACAAACAGCTATGTCTTGTAGAAGGCACAGCCAGAGTGCTCCTTGGAGACAAGGATGATGAGGCTTAGTCTCACATACTTTGGACACGTTGGAGAGATTCTTCCCTGGAGGAACATCATGTTTGGAAAGGTGGAAGGGCAGTGAAGAGGAGGAAGACCCTCAACCAAGGAGGTTGATACGGTGACTGCAGCAATGGGTTTGAGTGTGTCAGAGATTATGAAGATGTTATGGGTTAGGACAGTGTTTATTCAGTTAGTCATAGGGTTCCATGAGTGGTACTCAACCCAACAGCACCTAACAACAACAACAATATACATACATACAACTTGGCTGTACACATATTCAAGCAGTACAGAAATTTCTAAATTGGGATCCTCTTATTAACTACCCCTACTTTGCAAAAGCAAAGCCTCTAAGCACTGTATGTCAGTAGTTTCCTCCCCCTGCCACATTATGAACCAAAGCTCTAAACACTATTAACAATGTGTTGTCTAATTTTCCATATTTTCTTGAAAAAAAAATGTGGATATGTACATATATGTGTGTATGCAGATAAGTATATATATATATGTATATGTATGTACATGCATATACCATGGTCAATCAGAAGAACATACCCAGCTGTTTTGGAAGGAAAGCAGGAATAATAATGTTCCTTAGAATCCCAACATGGAAAGAGTTCATCTCATGTAGTCTGTACATGTTATCAGCAGGGACGAGTCCCTGGAGAAGGACAATGTGGTATTGGCCAAGTAGAATGTCACTGAAAATGAGGAAGACCCTCAAGGAGATGGGATGACACAAGAGCTGCAACAGGACCAAACACAGCAGTGAGGATGAGGTGGTGCAGGGCGTGGCAGTGTTTTGTTTGTTCTGCTACACACGGACTGGAAACAAGATGACGGCACCCAACAACGCTCACAGTGTCTACGTGGATATGGACATTCATATTATCTTGGCAAAATTCAGCTCTCTCTTAAGGAGCAGAGAGGTATATAAGATCAAGATGTACAGAGAATGTCAGAGTCTAATTTTAAAGCTGGGTTCATTTTATCATTATTATTTATACTGTACATGCATAGTATATATTTTCTCTTGAAGCACTAATATAAAACACTAATATATTTTCCTAGTAAAGAAATAAAATTAATTTTACTAATGCAAATGAAGCACCTATCTCAGTAGGTACTTAATATATCCTTACTACATTAAATAATAATACAATTGAACAATGCAATTAACTATTGTAAATGGAAGAAGAGCTAAACTTAGTAATAGCTGACAATGTTGTTAAAAGTAAATTTACTCTGCTGGGTTCAGCCTACCATATCCTCCAGGTAGTTCATAAATTTAAATTGGAAGTCATTTATTTTTGATCAAAAAAGTGGGTCCTACTAATTTCTTGAATTACTAAAGCCATCTTTTAGCCTTAGATTGCAAAGTTGCTAATTGGCCAAATGTGTCCTTGATGTTGAAATGAGGAATATAAAAAATAAAAACATAAAAAAGCCAGTCCTTTATGATATTAGTCACGTACTTCCCAGTAGAATTTAAAGACCATTTCATTAACTACAGACAGGCACAGAGAACGGTGCTGCTCACTGGAGTTTCTTCAAATGTTACAGAAATGGCAGAGGTAAAGCAAATAGCAGCGAAATGGCATCTGTATCCCAAAGCAACTTTCTCAGGTACAAATAGACAGAGAGCACACAGGTGCCATAAATCTTTGTCTAGGAGCCAATGAATAAACTATTTCTTTTTGTTGTATTTACCATGCCCACTTTAAGTTTAACATCAGGAAAAAATTAAACACACAGTATTTTTTTTTAATTTTTTGGGGAAAAAAGAGAACACTATTAATAACTACAGTGAAAGCATTCTTAAATAGCTGTATATTCAACTATGGAAGCTGCAATGGTAAATAACTTTTCAGACATGAAATTAAGAATTACTTTACTGCTAAAAATCAATTCAAGTATACCTGTATATAAAATTTCCTACTTTGATTGGTAAATCATATGGGATTTCATGAAGACAATACCAAAATATGTATGTGACATTCTCTAAAGAGTAATTTCTTTTATCAAATATTAATATCTCAGTTTTCTTTAAAAACTACAGTGAGAGGCTAATTACTTAATAACCACAAATCAGTCAACACCTATTTCTTGAAAAACCAAACATGATTATATGATCAATTTTCTAGATGTTCAAGAAGAAAAAGAAGATATAATTTTACTTCATTTTCATGCAAAATTCACATTCAACTGATATTAACATTTTCAATTTGTCTTATCTATTACTAACAGGAAATATATGAAAAATTTAACAAAACTAGACTGTTCTAAAAATAACTTTAGGAGAACCTTTTAAAATCAAAATGATATTGGTATTTTTATATACATGAAATAATGCAAAAAGATAAAGTAGCTCAGAAAATCCTTAATATTTTATTTAACGACTAGAAAAACACTTAGTGAAATGTAGATTCATATTCTGGAAACAAAGGATAATCTGTCAAAAAGGTCATTATAATTTGGGTAAGGACAGAGAAACCTAGTTTTTTGGTTTTGGGGTTTTGTTTTTTTTGGTGGAAACCGAGTTTTACAATCTATGTGGTTTTCTTTGCTATGAACTACCTTCTTTTTTCTCTACAATATATTCCATTTGCTTAGGCTAAAAAGAGAACCAATTCTAATTACAAGTCAAGCAGCTCATTTCTCAGAGAGAAATTTTAGATGGTTTTTATACCTCAAATGAAAATAATATCACGTCCTAAAAAGATGTTAAAAGAACAAAGTTGGTGAGGTAAAGCCATTAGATCATTTTTGCTGTATCCAGAGGAATGGTCAGTTATTACATCCTAGGTATTCAGGAATTCATGCTAAAGCACTAGAATTAAAGAACAATATTCATTCATTTTTAAGAGACATTAACAGACAAGTTCCCAAACCTTAATCACTCTATCTTTGAAAATGTTAACATCAATTGAATGCAAATTTTGCCATTAGCCAGAAATGACAGGACTGTAGGGGCTGCATATCCAGAAAATGACACAGCATATTCTTCCTGCCAGTTCCCTGGAAGTCTTGCAGAAATAGTGTCAAGATACTTTTCTATCTTTAAGTTTTACTTTTTGATTCTTCATCAGTTTCTTTCACACACCGAAGCTTTCAGTGTTTCACTCTTTCTAGGTCTATTTTTCGATGCCTTAGAAAATCACTTACATCTTCTTTATATTTAGTAATCATATGCATATTTTTTCTTTAGGATTAAGTCTCTTTAGGTTTATTTTTAATTAGAATAATGAAATATCACTTTATTGCATTTATTCATATCCTTTATGAAGCTTAACACATTTTGTCATAATGCCATGCTTTCTTTGATGTTAGATTATTGGGCACTGTCTCATTCTCATTAGATTTGTCTCATTCACAAAGAGAAGAAACTCATCAATCTGAATGTCTATCTAATTACAAAAGGTTTTTACTGATTTAGTAGTTGTAGACCAACATGAACAGTCCAATTAAAGACAGGTGATACAAACTGCCATTCATTTAAAAGCAAGTAAGTTGCTCTTCAAGAAAGGAATGGCAAGTACTTTAACGTCTTAAAGGTTGACAATACTTTCTTGCTATTGTTTTATGGAAGAAACATAAAAATTGAAGCATTTACCATTTCAAGTTTCTCTGCCTTAAGGCGTGCAGAAGGATTTAGGGAAATCGTCTTTCCTTGTGGTCCATAATTATCTTTCCAGGCAGGGGCAATATCTAAAAGACAACAGGGTGCACATTAATTGGAAATTTAATTGGAATAGAACTTTTCATTTGACAGGATGTGTTCTGAGCTCCTGCTGTTCAAAAAGAATTCTGGCTAATCAGTTGGCAGTTTTCATTATTATTATTTCTTTAAATCTAATATGCATCCTATAAGCCATCTTCACTTGAGCCCTAAAGATACAGCAGAAAAACAACAACCCTAGATATATTTATTGCTAAACCTACCACCAGAAATAGTATCTTTAAAAGCAAACATATTTTCTGCCACTATAACCGTCATTGTGGTACCTTTCTAATTGTAAGGTAGATAAATTTCTTTACAAATAAAATAATGTTTTATGAACAATTTTAAAATACCATCACACCTCTTTAACTGGTAAAAGGGATGCTGTTATACTAATTCTGAAAGTACCCTGGAAAAATCCATAAATGCAAGTCAGTTCAAGTTTGGACATAAAGGATGATAGAGATTCAGAACTTTTTGAGCTAACATTTCCTTTCTTATTTTACAGAGGGTTCTATTTCTAGTATCATAAATGGACTTTCAAGAGTTGAAGTTCACACAACCAATTCTCATTCTTCTTCTCTCTCTTTTTTTTATTCTTCTTCTCAAAAATCCCTTTAATAGTCCCTGATTATTTAGATGATCCTTTATCTCTGTTGAAGGAACAAAAGATTAAGTGCTCCAAGGGGCTTGAACTGGAAGAGTTAGTTTAATACACGCAAGTTTGCAGATCAAACCCCTGAAATCACTATCAGTCCCTACTATCTAAATTGCCACTATGCTAAATAAACTTTAAAATGCTATTTTACTAGTTCTACATAGGAACAAGAGGAAGAGAAACAACTTTTTAAAATGTCACATCTTTATGCAGCGTTTTAATTTTTTAAAATTTCTCAGAGCATCTGTCTCTAAGTACAAAATGATTTGCATTCTCTTTCTTAAGAACATAAGAAGCGCATATGAAAATAAATGGTCTCCCTCTAAACCTTTAGCACATCTTTAACATTCTATGGAAAATCTTGACTGTAGCTTATAGGTGTCAAGATCATGTAAAAAAAAAAGTTGGTTGCTAACTTTTAGTTTCAAATAGAATCATCCCTTGAGTTGATATCAGAGAGCATGGATTTTAGCACAGTAGAATTTTTAGAATTCTTATAAACCAGATCCAAGCCAAATACAACTGCTACCAACTCAATTCCAATTCACAGTGGTCTTCTGTCAGATGCCCAAGGCCATAATTCTTAATGGGAGGAAACTGCCCACCCTTTTCTTAAGGAGTTACCAGTGGATTTGAACCTTAGGACATGCAGAGCCTTTTGGCTGGCAGAAGGACATGCTACAGACTATTTTTATAAAGAAGATCTTCTTTGTTATTGTGAAATCTAATGTTGCATTGGGCTAAAAAAATATTGTATATGTATTTTTTTCTCTTAAAGTATTTCTCTGCCAAATCGGGTAGTTGTTGTTAAGTGCCAACAAGTTGGCTAAGACTCACAGAGACCCTATGGACAACAGACCTGAACTCTGCCATCTCCGTGCCCTCCTCATCTTCTCTTGCCACACTTGAGCCCATTGCAATAGTCGTTGTGTCAATCCAGCTCATTGAGTAGGGTGGTATGGAATTCCCCACACCAGGTAAGGTCAACTTTTCTCATTTCTACAGCTATGTTGGAAGTTAACAGAAGATTGCTTTTGTTAGATACCATGAGTATAACTCATAGCGACCCTATGAACATCCAACCTAAACCCAGCCCTAGTCTGCCATCCTCATCATCTCTGAAATGCTTGAGTCCACTGCTGAAGTCACCGTATCAATCCATTGGGGGGGTCTTCCTCTCCTTTGCTGACCCTCTATCTTTTCAAGCATCATGTCCCTCTCCAATGAACAGCCTCACCTAGCAACATGCCCAAAATATAAAAAGAGGAAGCTTCACCATCTTTGCCTACAAGGAACATTTTGGCTGCATTCTCTTCAAGACATAATCTGTTTGTTTTCTTGGCAGTCCATGGGATATTCACTACTCTTCTCCAGCACCACAACTCAAAGGCATCAATTTTTCTTCTGTCATGGTGCGGCAATGAAGGAGTGAAAGCCCAGAATCCCTGTGAGTGTTCATTGAAACGAATAAAATTTAATAATAATAATAAAAAAAAATTTTTTTTCTTCTGTCTTCCTTTTCATTGTCTGGTTCTCCAATGCACAGCAGATGACTGAGAAGACCATGGCCAAAGTTAGGTGTACCTTAGTCTTCAAATTGACATCACTGGTCTTTAGAATACTGAGGAGGAACCTGACTGCAGACTTGCCCAATGTACTGTGTCTCCTATATTAGGATGTTGATTGTTGGTTCAAGGATGATGAGATAATTGACAGCTGCAATCCTTTCTTAGTTATTCTTTGCTTTAGTTGTGTAGTACACTAAGGACTTCAGAAATGTTAGCTTGTTCATCTTCTAATAGCCATCACGACATAGATCTTATTATTCTATTATGGTATGAACTGTATCTCCAAAATGGACATGTTGGTGCCCTAATTCTTGCACAGGTGAATGTAATCTTGCTTGGGGCAATCAGGGATTTTCTCTTCAGATGTTCTCTGTTAAGTTAAGGAATGAATACACACTAGAGGAGAGTGGCTGTTAATATCAATCTCTCCTGCTTAGGGATTCATAAGAGGCATTTTATAAAAGGATTTGAACTCTTATAACCCTAAAGCTAAGGTTTTAAATGTGTCAACATCTTTCTCATTGGTTTTTTCCACTGGGAAAGTAGGAACACATAGGAGCAGTGAAGATAAAAATATAAAATACTTTGAAAACTATAGAGTATTATTAATGTTAACAGACACTACTTAAATAAGAATTTTCACTGACTTTGTATTTAACAATATGTAATCGCAATTCAACAAAACCTTGGGCCTCTTTTGAGCCAACTCTTTCTTACAACTTTGCCCTTGAAAGAAAACCTTAAGGCCTGTTTATAAACCCAGTATGTTTTGGCAATTTAGGGAAGTCTAACCTGACTTGTTTTTCTCATTTGCCAATACTATTTCTCTATTTCAGGCTAAAGCTCTTTGCATGCTCTACTTTGGAATTCAGTTTTCAAAGCATGATTTGTGATTACAGATCTTCTGCTTCTTCTTTTCAAGGGCTGAAGAAAGGGATTGTTTTATATGGGTGGGATCAATACAATGTGACTTACACCAGAACCCCTCACTGGATATTTTCCCCCCGTCACTACTATGTTTCAAAGGCTCTGTGCAGGGGAATGAAGCTTCTGTTTAAATTCATGACAGTTATTTGTTCAAGCAGTATTTCCTTATTGATTTTTAGGAGTATCTCTGGTATACTTTCAGCTCATTCACAAATTCATGCCTTACTCAGTTTATGGCAACAGTACATGCCTGTATATAGAAATATATTTATATCATAAGGTACCTCATTGCCTTCAACTTGAGTTAGACCCATAGCACCTCTCTGTTGGACTTCCAAAGACATAAATATTTAAGGGAGGAGATGGCTCCTCTTTCTCCAGCTACAATAATTTTTTTTAAGCATCCAAGTATTATGTGGATTTTCAGCAACTGTACGTAGTTTTACACTTTGGGAAGAGAGATTGGCTTACAGTTTTTATAAGTCAACATTAAGATTTTATACCTTTTAAATAAAAACCAATTACTTGGAGGAGTGTAGAAAAAAAAAGTCATGATCTAATTTGGGGATAATCTACAGCTAAGTATTCTGTCTCACATACATTGGGCATGTTGTTAGGAGAAGCCAATCTTGGGAAAGGACCTCATGGTGGAAAAGGTTAAGGGTCAGAGACAGAGAGGAAGACTCTCAGCAAGATAGACTGACACCGTGACTTTAACAATGGGCTTGGGCACATGAGAGATCATGAGGATGTCCAAGATCAGGGCAAGGTTCAGATCTCTTGTTTATAGGGTAGCTCTTTGTAGTTGACTTGATGACACCTAACAGCAACAACTAAAGTCTAACACTGTTTCTTGGAGTCTCTGGTGTAACTTTATCACAGTTTACTCAGGATTTCATTGTGCGATTCTTTTGCTCTAATCTCGTAGGGTCCTTCTTGCTGCTCGGTGCTATCAACTCACAGCAATCCCTTGTGACACAGCGGAATTGCCCCGTAGAGACAGTGGCAATGAAGGAAGAAGATCAAGCTACACTGAAAGCATTGTGGCGGGGGTGGGGGGGGAGACCCCAGGAATTGATAACATGTTTCAACTAAAAATCAACAACTTCAATCTTTTCTCCATCTATTATGATCTGTGTATTAGCCCAGAGGTGAGGATCTGTTTTCTTGATATTGAAATGCAACCCATATTGAAAGCTGCAGTCTTAGCCCTTCTGCAGCAAATGCTTCAAGTAGTGCTTAGTGTCAATGAGTAAGGTTGTTTTATCTGTGTATAATGTGGGTTATTGATGAGTCTTCCTTTAATCCTGATGCCACATTCTTCTTCATAAAGTCCAGCCTCCCAGATGATATGTTCCACATAGAGATTGAAAATGTATGCAGGAAAGACACATCTCTAATGTGCTCCTTTACTGATTTTGAATCATGAAATGTTCCCTTCTTCTGTTCAGACAACAGCTTCCGAGTGTAGTAGATACAGATTACACATGAGCACAATCAGGTGTTCTGAGATTTCCATTCATCTCAGTGTTATCCAAAATTTGTTGTGATCCACACAGTCAAATGCCTTTGCATTGTCAATAAAACACAAATAGAAATCCTTCTGGTGCTCTCTACTTTCAATCATGATCCATCTGATATCAGCAATGATATCTCTAGTGCACGGCTTCTTCTAAATCCAGCTAGCAGTTCTCTGTCAATGTCCTATTCTAGTTCATTTTTTTAATAATCTTCAGCAAGATTTTGCTTGCATATGATATTAGTGATATTGTTTGAGATTTTCAACATTCTGTAAGATCACCTGTTTTGGTACTAGGAATAAATATTGATCTCAACAGAAAATATCATAATAAATAAAGAAAAGATCGAAAACTGTTAATGACTTCATCTTACTTGGCTCCATGATCAATACACTTGGTAATAGCCATCAGGAGATCAGGAGATACGCTGCACTTGGATAGCCTGCAGTATGGGATCTCTCCAAATGGCTGAAGAGCAATGATATTAGTTTGAGGACTAAGGTACACCTGATTCAGGTCATGGTTTTTTTCAATACTTGGTATGCATTTGAGAGCTGAACAATGAATAAGGATGACAAAAAAATTAACACCTTTGAGCTGTGGTGTTGGAGAAGAATACTGAATATTCCACGGATTGTCAAAAGAATAACTATGTCTTGGAGAAAGGGCAGCCAGAATGCTCTATGGAGGCAAAGATGGCAAAACTTCATCTCACATATTTTGGGCCTGTTGCCTGGAGAGGCTGTTCCTTGAAGAGCGACATCCTGCCTGGAAAGGTGGAGGGTTGGTGAAAGAGAGGAAGACCCTCAACCAGACAGGCTTACATATTGATTGTAGCATAGAACAGGGTTTAGATCCATTGTTCATAGGGTCGCTATGAATCACATTCGACTTACTGGCACTTAACAACAATGACAATCAACAAATAGACTCTTAACTCATCACTACAATTTGCCTCTCTGATACAGTTTTGTCTTCTCACTTTTGAGTTCAAAATGAAAACAAGACATAAAGAAAAATTTGTTTGCAATAATGCTATTAAGGTTTCTAAGAGCCAGTACTTCTTAAGTAAAAATGAAAAGGATATAACGTACGACAAAATATTAGTACTAACCTACTGGTAAACACTATCCCAATCAGAAGAAACTACTCTAAAATCTACCGTGAATTCCTAAGATTGATAGAAATGTAAGTAACCAAGCTTTTCCTTAATTTGAAATTATCTGGTAAGCACTAAAACATATGGGTAACAATTTGCATTACATTTTGAACACATGTACTTATCTTTCTCTGCATGGAAGTATAGCAAGCTCTGGTGACATAGTGGTAAGGAATTTTATTGTTTCTGTGTTTAAGTTATAAAGACAATTTGGAAAGAGTAGATTTCTTTCTTTTTTTTTTTTAATATTCGAGCCCGTGAATACTTTGAAGCTTGATGAAAATCCTCCTTTAATGGATGTTGTTAGGTGTCATAGAGTGGAGTATGACTCATAGAAACCCTATGAACAAAAGATCTGAACCCTGTTCTGTCCTGTGCAATCCTCATAATAGAATTATAAAAAAAAAAAAGTTGCATAAAGCTTATGCAATTAACATTTTTTTTGCTGTCAATATTTCACTGAAAGAGTCAGTAAATAATTTCATGATCATTAAAATCCAATAATATTTAATTCATGGAACTCTGGTGGCCTAGTGGTAAGAAGGTGCACTGCCAACCCAAAGTCACTCAGATCGAATCCACCAGCTGCTCCATAGGAGAAGGCTGGGCAGTCTCCTCCCTTGCGATTTACAGCCTCTAAAACCAACTGAAGATTTAGCTATGAGTCGGTTCTGACTTGATGGCTCATAAGACAGACAACAAACGTCTGATTCACAAATACAGAGTTCCTTTCTTATTTATATATCTATATTGTCTCTTTAAAAAACAAAGTATTTCTTTTCTTAAAATACAAGGCCTCTTTTAGCCTCTTTCATAATGTACTCTCTGAAAGGTGCACTTAGTGTGCCTCACCAACATTTCACTGAAAGGATAAGGCATCTTCATCTTGATTTACAGGACCGTTTTCATTATATATTTGGTTTCAACAGTTCATTGGCTATTACAGCCTGATAGACACTGTTATGGTAATGCAGCTTTTAAAATTTCAACTCTTTGTTCAGAGAAATTTCCAATAAAAGGCATAATCTAACAGGGACCACTGGACAATGTAGTCATTTTGCTTTTTTATTCATTGAAGGCAAAAAGGGATAATGCGTCCTTCTTTGAAGTCTATTAAGTCACATTATGTAGTCCTCATTGAGAGAGAGTAATTGAAAAAAAATAAAATAACAGGAAAAGGGAATTAAATGTGCATTTACCTGTATTAGACATGTCTGTAGGGTTGTTGTCTGAAGAAGTAATTGGAGTCTGTTCTGTTTTCCTGGGCCCAGTTTTTACCTATGAAAGAAAATGAGAAATATGAAATGTCATTTCAAAAGTAGGTCAGCGGCCAGATAAGAAACTCATGTTAACATAAAAAGAATAGTTGAAAAGACTAAAGCAATATCCAGAAAAAAATAAGAAACTTCTAAAATTCTGGTATAGTCATTTCCAAACAAAACAAGTTTGAATTAAAGATAAAAAGTGTTTTCAGCTCTACCATGACTGAGGTTCACACACTATAAGCCCATGCACCTTGGCTTTTAAAAGCTCTTGTAATTCTAAATTACTAAATATCAAGTACTGACAGAAGACAGTATATTCATCTCTGACCATAAAAAATGAGCAAGGGCTGCATGTGAACAGCCATCTCTGACCTTTACTAACTCCACAATGGGGAACGGTCCCTGTCAACAACACAAAACCAATTCCCATGAGGTCAGACATGTCCCCTCAGCTCGAGCACCTCTTTCCACTTGTCCTGACACCAATCTTAACACTCTACTGCGTCCAAAATGCAATGTGACAGCTCACAGGCCACAAAGAACCATTTTAGGGAAGTCAAAAGGCTATCATTCAGGTAAGCAGCAAGATAAAATCACCCAGTCAGGACAGTTCTTGAAATGTGCTTACGAACACCTAAGCCTTGAGTCTCATGGCTTTAGGCCACTGTTACAAAGCTCTCAGTCCTGCCAATGATTCTTTCAGCCCCTAATGGTCCAGCAAACTTGGGCAAAGGCTCCTAGTTCTGGTTCCATGGGGCAGCAGTCCCAAGGTCTGCTCTATATCATGCCAGGTCTCTGGTTCTCTGCTGTGGCTGATATAGCTACTGCTCCCATCGGCCCTGGTCTGACCTGCATTAGAATCTCTAGCCCCAAAATACATGCTGCATTCTCTTGCTTGGTCTTTGCTGGTGGTGAGGTTCTCAAATTCTGCTGCTAGATCCACTCAATTTAATGGTGAGACTAGGCAATCCCCTCATGGACTGGTGAGACCAGCCAATCCCCTCGTGGCTATGCTAACATGCCTTGTTTGCATATTCCCACTTATCCCTGTGGCAAAGTCAGTCAACAGCTAGGGAAGCCATTTTGAACAATAAATCATTAACATCGCAGATCAGCATGAACCTGAAGCGAAACTTACCTTAAACAAATTATATTCCACTCATAGAAAGCCTACTTGAGTTTCTCATTTTTATACCAACACAGATTTAACGAATGTATGCTCTATTATATAACAGTGATTTGACAGTCTGTAGCTGTTAACAATTCAGTATATAAATTTGATCTACAGATTCCTCATTTCTAACCTCTAGTCTGGTACACATATGGGAAGAAATAATTTGCACACAGATTGAATGAGTATGGTGGGCCTCATTGTATAGTAAAGAATCTAAGTGATAAAAGGAAGACTGTCTGATGTTAGTCTACTATGAAACAGAAGTGATAATAAGCTGAGCCATATATTTGTTGTTGGGCGCTGTCAGGTTGACCATGATGCATAGTGACCCTGTGAACAACAGCCCTGCACCCTGCCCTGCACTGCGCCATCCTTACTCTCCTTACACACTCGAGTTCATAGTTAGAGTCACTGTGTCAATCCCTCCTGTTCAGGGTCTTCCTCTCTTGGGCTAACCCTTCACCTTTCCAACATGATGTACTACTCCAACGACTGGCCCCTCCTTACGGTACAGGCAAAGCATCAGCAACTGTCTCACGTTAAATGTAACATTTCTAACCTAGTTTTGGGGGGATATCTAGGTATATATTTGTAGTGTCCTTTTGTAATGCTGATAAATAAGTGACTATGTTTCTCTAGCTGCAAGATTCTCCAGATGCAAGACACACTGTCCTGGAAATCTATGTTTATTGACAGCAAGATACAAATCATTAAACATAAAGAAGAAAACTTGAAATAAAAACAAAAACCCACTGATTTGTTAACAAACTGTATTACTGAAATTATAATTCTATGCATATTTAAGAAACATAAGAGCATATGCAGGGTTTATTAACTGTCTAAAAGAGACAACTTTAAGCTTACCTGATTTGTCTTAAATGAAGGTAAAATAGGGTTTTGTATCTGGGGAGATGATGAGGTCTTCGGAGTTAGTATTTCAGGGGGAGAAGAAAGAAGACTGAAGCTTGAGGTCTGAGGTCCATGATCTCCAGAAGTTTGTAAAATAGATGTTCGAGATGGATTTCCTGGATAACTGCCATCAGATTTCAGTCTTATGAATGCTATCTCCCAAGTGGATTCTGATCTGGTATTAAAAAGAAGTAAATTTATAGACATGTTATATACCCCTGCCAGCAAGTCAACGCCATCTCACTGTTACCCTCATAGGACAGAGTAGAACTGTCCCACAGGGGTCCCGAAGATATAAAACTTCATTGAAAAGTTTCTCCCTTGGAAACAAGTGGACTTGAACTGCTGACCTCTTGGTTAAAAGCCGAATGTTTTAGACATAATGTCACCAGCGCTTCTTGTTAGAGATGTTGTTGTTGTTATGTACAGTTGAGCCAGAAATGACTCATCAGAGGATTTCAGAAAATCACCCGATCGTGCCACCTTTCCTCTACAGAGGATTCAAACCATCTGCCTTTGGGTTAGCAGCACAACTCCTTGTTTACTAGGCCACTAGAGCTCCCTTGTTAGATATAATTGAATTCTAAAACAATGTTTCCAGTATTGTTGTTGTTGTTAGGTGCCTTTGAGTCAAGTATGACTCAGAGTGAGCCTATGAACCACAGATCTGAGCCCGGTCCTATCCTGTGCCATCCTCACAATCATGTTTCCAGTAATATCCGGGGGAAAAGAATTTTTTTTTAGTTCAAAATATGTAAAATGCCATCAACAAACGAATGGCTAGAGAAGCTGTGGTATATTCGCACAATGGAATACTATGCTGCATTAAAAAACAAGGAACTCATGCAATATTATTCAAAATGGTTGACTCTGGAGAACATTATGCTGAGTGAAATATCCCAGTCACAAAAGGACAAATATTACATGATGCCACTGTTGTAGAATGGGACTGTCCTTGGGGTTGGGGAGAGACTGAGTAAGATGGGTTCAATAATGTATACTGCACTGAAACAGAGGAGGGAGAGAACCGTCTAAAAGAGAGATGTAACTGGGTATTTCTGTCATCACAGGAGACTAGAGCGAGGGCTGCATGGTGGAGGGGACCTGGGGGAGTGTTTGTAAAACAATGAAAGAATCTTTTCTTTTACTTTTCCATAATTTTTGGACTCATGTACTTATAACTTGTTAGTCAAATTTGTGTCTTCTAGGTTGCAACACCCCCATGATACATCTTGAAGGATATGTACATGTACAGCCAAGCACAATCAATAAGAGTGCATCTGAATTCCAAAATCAATCTCCATAATAGTCTATGTGTTTCCTACTGCCAAAGGGGCCCTTTAGAGTAGTGAGAGAAGATCTTCACCCTGAAACCCACAGCGTCCCTTTTCAGCAGGAAGTAGCTAAGAGAATACGCCGTCCCCTTTTCCTTATGACTCAGGGTGAAGTCTCTCTCAGGGAGGAGTGATAGGGAATGGCAAAGGACACACTGACAAAGAAGATTAATCAGAACTGGCTTTGACAAGCACTGTGGCATTTGGACAAGAACAAACTGGGAGGAGGGTAGAGAGAATAGTGCAACAATGAATGAGTGGAAGCCCAAAATCTCTGTAAATGTTTATGAAAATTAATAAAATATAATTATAGGAAAAAAAAATATGTAAAATGACTGTTTCTCCAGAGACATGCAAAGTAACTCACTGTATCTTCTGGAGAGGACAGTTACCTCAGCTCGGCTCTGGCCATTATGCTTTTTGCTTCTTCATATGAGACACCAATCATGGATTCCTTGTTTATTGAAACAAGTTGATCTCCCAGCTTCAGACGTCCATCCTAAAAAAAAGCATTAACCACATTTCACAATAAAATGAGAGGTTAAAAATTATTACAACAGTTAATAAAAGCAATCAAAAGAAATGATTTTGTGAAGAATATTTTAAATAAGAAATATATTAGATAAGCTACCTCAATAGAAAAAAAAAACCAAACTTTTAAGTGAAGCCTGGCTTGTTAACATATGAATGGTATTGTTGTTGTTATGTGCCGTCAAGTCGCCTGCGACTCATAGCGACCCTATGTACAACAGCCCTAAACTCCGCTCTGTCCTGTGCCAATCGCACTGTCTCTGACACTCCCATCCTGATTATCCCAGTCACTGAATCAATCCACCTCATAGAGGGCCTTCCTCTCCTGCGCCGTCCCTCCACCCTCCCAAGCATGATGTCCCTCTCTAAGGACCGGTCTCTCCTCACAACATGTCCAAAGTAAGTTAGACGGAGCCTCAGAATCCTTGCCTCCAAGGAGCCACCCGGTTTAACACTCTCCAGGACAAATCTGTTTGTTTTCCTAGCAGTCCATGGTATTCTCAATACTCTTCTCCAGCACCACAGCTCAAAGGCATCAATTCTCCTTCTATCCTCCTTGGTCATTGTCCAACTCTCTGATGCATAACAGGTGATTGCGAAGACCATGGCCTGTATCAGACGCACCTTAGTCTCCAGAGAGACACCACTGCTCTTCAGCACTTTGGAGAGGTCCCTAACAGCAGACTCTCCCATAACAATGCGCCTTTTAACTTCCTGGCTGCTGGTGCCAAGACTGTTGACTATGGAGCCAAGCAAACTAAAGCTGTGTACAATCTCAATCTCTTCATCATTCATCCTGATGCTGCCAATTGGTCCAGTGGTGAGAATCTTTGTCTTCTTGACATTGAGCCTCAATCCATATTGTAGGCTGCAGTCCTTGACACTCTGCAGCAGGTGCTTCAGGCCCTCTTCAGTTTCAGCAAGCAGGGTTGTGCCATCCGCATAACGCAGGTTGTTGATAAATCATCCACCAATCTTGACCCCACATTTCTCCTCATAGAGCCCAGCCTCCCGGATAATCTGTTCTGCATATAGGTTGAAAAGGTATGGAGATAGGATGCATCCCTGGCGTACGCCCTTCCCAATTTTGAACCATGCAGTGTTCCCTTGCTCTGTTCTGACGACTGCCTCCTGGTCCAAGTATAAGTTTCGCATTAGAACGATCAAGTGTTATGGGATTCCCATTCTTCTCAGAGTCAGCCACAGTTTGTTATGATCTACACAGTCAAATGCCTTTGCATAGTCAATGAAACACAGATAGACATTCCTCTGGTATTCCCTGCTTTCAGCCAAGATAGCTCATATATTCTCTGAATATGTTTGACACAAAAGAATCCTGAGTCTCTGAGGCCATAGTCTGCGATAAAGTTTTATTTCAAAGGCTCAGCACTTTGCCTATATTTCGGGTCACAGTCACACATCTCTACTGGATATTTCACCCCTTCTGTGACTCAAGCTTTGTTGGTGACTAACAGAGCTTTAGCCAGAGCCTCCTAATAAAGATGACCAAATCTAACTAACTGCCTTGCACTCCCTTTGCTACGTCCTGGCCCTGCCTATTGCCCAGTCACTCTGGGTACAACAGACAACAGTTATAAGATTATGTATTTGTTGGCAAGCTGCTTGGCTCTCATTTGTCTTTTATCTTAACTCAAGTTGGAAATGGGGAATGAACTCCCTTCATTTTCATTTCCTGTAATATCTTTTCAACTATCACTAGCACTAAGGTACAATGCCTTACTTCTATAGCTATAAGAAACTGGTGTGGTGAAAAAGTTGGACCTTCAACCTGATGGTATTTAAGTACTTCTCATAAATTAAAGGAACTATCTTTCTTCAGTGTTTATCTACTAAACATTCCTTGAGTAATTAGTCTTTGATCCAAAGTGTACTATATAAAAAAATTATTTATAATGATTTTCATAATTAGCAATATATACATAAAATTTCTCAAATTTATATGATCACGTTATCTCACGTAAGTTACAGAGCAAATATATAAAGGCCATGTGAGTTCTTGAAATATAAACATCATAAAAATTAACCTAAAAAGCAGTTTGATTTTACATCTTTTTATAAAATGTAGATGATTAAATATAATCAGTAGAGTCATCCACATACAGGGGATTTTTTTCTCTCCCATTTGATCTATGTATGGGGGGGAAACTCAAAAGTAATGCTAGAAAGACTAGCACTGACTAGCCAATTTGCTAGTAGAGACTAACAAAAAACCAGCATAGAAAAGATTCCAAAAAATACAGAAGAATGTCTACTGTAGTATAGGGATTATGTGAATGTGGAGAATAGACAGAGGTTGTTAACCATTTCAGCTTGCTCAGATCCACAATCAACAATGCACCAGCAATTAAGAAATCAATAGATGAACTGCTCTGGAGAAAGCTGCTGTCAGCAACCTCTCAAAAGTGCTGAAGAGCGATGATGTCACTCTAAGACTAAGATACGTCTGATTTAGGCCATGGGCTTCTCAATTACTTGCTACACATCAGAGAGCTGGACAATGATTAAAGATGACAGAAGAATTGATGCCTTTGAGTTGTGGTGCTGGAGAAGAGTATTGAACAGACCATAGACTGCCAAGAGAATAAATAGGTATCCTAGAGAGTGAAACCAAGCTACTCCTTTGAGGCAAGGATTTTGAACCTCTGTCTCATATATTTTGAACATGTTGCTCAGAGGGACCAGTCCTTACAGGAGGACATCATGCTTGGAAAGGGTAGAGAGACAGTGCAGAAAGGACCCAAGATGAGATGGGCTTACACAGTACCTGGGGTATTGGGGGTAGTTGTGTTGGAGATAGTGCAACTGGCTCAAGACAGAGAAGAGTTCAAGCGATTGCACCTAGGGTCCTTCCTAAGTTGCAGATGAATTGATGGGATATAGCAACAACAACAAATGTTATCTACAAGTTCAGTAAAATCCAAGGGCTAATTTTGTAAGATTTGGGAAACATAGTTTCCTGGGACCAAATGTGATCATGTTATGTTCCATCGAATCGCCTGTGACTCACAGCGACCCCTATGTACAACAGCCCTAAACCCTGCTCTATCCTGTGTCAATCTTATTGTCTCTGACACATCCACCTCCATTACCCCAGTCACTGAATCAATCCATCTCATCAAGGGTCTTTTCCTCTGGCACTGTCCTTCCATCCTCCCAAGCACAATGTCCCTCTCCAAGGACTGGTCCCTCCTTGCAACATGTCCAAAGTATGTCAGATGAAGCTTCAGAATTCTTGCCTCCAAGGAGCAGCCTGTATTCACCTTCCCTAGGATGAACTTGTTTGTTCTCCTAACAGTCCATGGTATATTCAGTACTCTTCTCCCCTTCCAAAATTTGATCATAGCATTTAGTTATATATACTTTTAAGCAACCATGTCCAGATACTTACTTATACACAATTTTATATGCGAAGTTTTTGGATGAAACCTCATTTACTTAAGGTTGAGATGAAATGTTAACAAACTGAGAGCAAAAACATAAGATAATAAACAACAAGGGAAAGACAGACACAAAATTCAGAAAAGTGCTTATTTTTGAGATGGTGGGGATCTTTATTTTGGAGAATCACACAGAAAATTATAAAGGTGTTTAAAAAGTTTGTTTCTGAAAGTTAAATGATGAAAGGGAGCTCTGGTGGCCTAGTGGCAAGAAGCTGTGCTGCAATCTCTAAGGCATGTGGTTCGAATCCACCTGATGCTCCACTGGAGAAGAAGGAATAACCTCCTCCTGTGCCAGTTGGATCCAATTTGATGGTATACAAGAAGAAGAAGAAGAAGAGTTAAATGATGATATCTAAGTTGATTCTTAGATGTTAATTTTACTGTTATGTTTCATTATATTACATATATATTCTGTTCCAATACTCTTCTACATGCCAAATACTACATTAGGCAAAATAAATTCTCCATTCTGCACAATGAAAAAGAAACACATACAATTTGCCCATAACTATGGCTGACTAGATGAATTATTTCTTCATATTCCAGATCTGGTACTGGGAAAATATGCCAAATAGGCAATGTTTTAATCTATCTCTTTAGAACAGAGACATTTATATTATTGTTAAATCAAGTCCCAGGCCATATTTAATCTTTCAAAATAATTTCTAATTAAACTCCATTTTATTAAGTATGTTTTAACTGAAATTTAATGACTGCACTGAAATTGACTAGTATCCCAGAATCTGGGAATAATTTACCGGGGGGAAAGAAAGGGAAAAAATGAAAATTCTGTTCCAGTTAAGCATTTAAAGGACTTTTAGTAGAAAAGAAAAATTTCTTTGAGTTGGGGTGGCAAACAGAAAATGATACGTTTGGTTTTTTTAAAATCCAAATCCTGTTCATATTAACAACTTTCTTCTACTGACAACTTCTTAGAAAAGAGAAAATTCTGTGACTACAAGTCAGATGGCAAATGAGCTGTTTTGTTTGGACAGGAGTCACTCCTGAATACACGGCTTATGCTCGCAAAGCAGAGAGTCCAAGTGAAAGAGCACGGCTAGGCAGCCAGATGGACCTGAATTTGAATTTTAGCTTCAAGACTCACTGCGAGAACTTCAAAAACAATGAAAAGGAGGAAGAGGCGCAGTTTTGGGTGGGGAGGGAGGGCGGGGAGCACACAATCTCAGGCTAAAAGAAACTTGGAATTAAATGAGTTCTGCAGGCTAAATCGTTTGGAGGCAGCTCCAGTAACCATTTTCCCTAACAGAAAGCCGAATTCGTTGTTAGGGTTATAGAAAAGAGCTACAGAAAACAAAAAAGGCCAAAGATGTGACATTAGGGCTTAGGGTGACCCAGTACCTTCACGACCCTCTTGTGCTACATGTGGAGATTTATCATTGTTGATTTAGGGGAGCCAATTCGACATACCTTGTTTTAAAAGGCACTGCTTTTCTGGTTTGCTATGTGTCACTGCGTTGGAACTGACTCATAGCTGACCCTCCAGTAA